AGCGCCGTCAGGCCCAAACGGTAATGTCGTTTGGGCCTGCCCGTCGGGTCTGGTCCAAAATGAGGCCTTTACGGCCTGTAGTACCCCAAGGTCGGACCTTTAGGCCCTACTGTGTCCCTCTGGCCCTACGTCGGGTCCGGTAGGGCCCGTGTGGCGTCGAAGATGTAACAGTGACGCTTCCCGCTGGGCCCAGCGAAATTCGGCGTGGAGGCGGGCGGTACTGGGGCAAGGTAAATCGGCCGCGGCGTTTCGTGGCGGGACTGCGGGCGAAATTCGGTGTGGAGGCGGGCGGGACTGGGGCAAGGTAAATCGGCCGTGACGTTTCATGGCGGGACTGCGGGCGGGAGTGAGGGAAATTCGGTGTGGTGGTTTCACGCGACACGCCCCGCTCTGCAGTGTCAGGAGGACAGAAAGTTCCCCGCTGCCACATTTTTTCTTTCAACCCCCCCATTCAGTTATGTTTCCCGCCAGTCCGTGGTGCCGGGTGGGGGCTGCGTCAATATGGAAAAGGGCGGCGATGGAAAGATGTGATGGAGGAGGGAGGATCAACGCAGGAGGAGGGAGGAGGAAGAGGGAGAAAGACATTTGGGGCATGTGGCACGTGTGCGCTCTGAGCAGGAAGGATGGGAGAAAGAGGGAGGGTGAAGAGGGAGAAGCATGTTTGGGCCGATCGAAACAAAGGAGGCAGCATGAGGAGCAGCGAGGACGAGGAGGAACAACGAAAAAGAGGAGGAGCGAGGGGGCGATGAGAACGGAGGAAAGAGGAGGATGGAACAGAAAGAGAGACGAAAAGAGGACGATAAGCATGGCAGACAACGAGAATTCATGGAGGAGGGGAGAGGATGTAGGGAGGAGGTTGCCAGGGGGAGGAGGACATCGCGCAAGGGGGAGGAGGAGGTCGCACAAGGAGGAGGAAGGTTATGTGAGGGGGAAGCGGACGTCGTGACAAGGAGGAGGAGGAGGTCGGAAGAGAGGTGGGAGGAGGTCATGCGAGGGGGAAGCAGACATCGTGACAAGGAGGAGGAGGAGTTCGTGCAAGGGGGACGAGGAGGTGGGTCGAGGACGAGCGAGGGGGAGGAGGTCGCACAAGGATTAGGAGGACGTTGTGTGAGGGGGAGGAAGAGGTCGAGCAAGGGAGAGGTCAAAAGAGGGCGAGGAAGTCGCGCGAGGGGGAGAAGGGGGGCGTGCGAGGGGTAGGAGGAGGTCGCGCGAGGGGTAGGAGGAGGAGGTCGTGCGAGCGGGATGAGGAGATGGGTGGAGGACACGTGAGGGGGAGGAGGTCGCACAAGGATTAGGAGGACGTTGTCTGAGAGGGAGGAAGAGGTCGAGCAAAAGAGGTCAGAAGTGGGGGAGGAAGTTGCATGAGGGGGAAAAGGGGGGAGCGCGAGGGGTAGGAGGAGGTCGCGCAAGGGGGAGGAGGAGGTTGGAAGACGATGTGTAAGGGGGATGAGCGGGTCGTGCAAGGACGAGCAGGAGGTCGCAAGAGGGGGAGGAGCCTAGTGGGAGGCCGCACGAGGGAGAGGAGGAGGTCGAAAGAGGGGGAGGAGTGGGTCGTGCAAGGGGGAGGAGGAGGTAGTGCGAGGGAGACGAGCAGGTCGCACGAGGAGGACGAGAGGTTGCAAGAGGTCGTGCGGAGGTCGGAAGAGTGGTGGAAGGAGGTCGCGCGAGTGGGATAAGGAGGTCTGAAGAGGACACGTGAGAGGTGAGGAGGAGGTCGTGCAAGGAGGAGGAGGAGCTGGTCGAGGTCAAAAGAGAGGTGGGAGAACATTGCGCGACGGGGAGGAGGAGGTCGGAAGACAATGTGCAAGGGGGAAAAGCAGGTTGTGCAAGGACAGGGAGAAGGTCCCGTGAAGGGGAGGAGGAAGCCATGCGAGGAGGACGAGGAGGTCCGCAGAGGGGGAGGAGTGGGTTGTGCACGGGGGAGGAGGAGGTCATGGGAGGGGTAGGAGCAGGTCGCACGCTGGGATGAAAGGTTGCAGGAGGTCGTCTGGGAGGGGGAGGAGGAGGTCGCACCAATGGGAGGGGGAGGTCATGCTAGGGGGAGGAGTTTGTGCGAACGGGAGGAGCGGGCCACGCGGGAGGACAAGGAGGTCGCGTGCATGCGCGCGCACACGAG